ATATATATATATATATATTTGATTAACTATATCTCAAGTATAATTGTGAAAATATTTTTCAAGTTAAAAGTTGATAATTAAATAATTTTCTCCCTAAGCAAATTTTTTTTATTTGGTTTAAAGTCACGACACTAAAACTTAATATCAATGTTAAATGAAAAACACGACGATTTTATAGTTCACCGTCACCAATCTCAAACCACTATAGAGGGTCTTTTTTAGAGTAAACTAAATATAATTGACCTCTCCCAATAAAATATTAATATTTTAACGCATACAATTAATAATTAAATCTTAATGAAAAACATGTTTGAGAGATTTATTATTATTATTACTTTTAAATGAATCATTATTGAGTTAGCTTTGTATCATTCTAACATTAAATTAAAATAACTCACATTCTCCAAACCTAATCTTTTACTTTCAATACAAAAAGTGCATTATTCTTTCCAAACCAAGAAATCAAGCTTCCATGGCCTAATAAATCCGGATCCAAACCAAAACAAAAATATATTATCAACTTTTGAAATAATGATTTAAACAAGTCAACCAATGTAAATTTAAAATTAATAACAGTATATAAGTCCATTACATAGTTAATTTATACATTATTTACTTAAATAAACAATAAATGTTACTCTTTCTCCTAAATAGTCTCCCAAATAAAAATATAAATTTTTTCAATGTTAAGTATTCTTTAAAATATTGAAAAACCTTTTGAATTAGATAATTTTATTAAACATTACTTATCTAATTAAATAATTTTATTATTTTTCTTGTAGATAAATAGAAAAATTAGAGAGGTAGAGAGAGTAATGTACATGGGAGAAAACTGATGGTGCATTTAATATTAATAAATAAATAAATAAATGCTATTATTAAATAATAATAATAATAATAATAATAATAATAATAATAATAATAATAATAATAATAATAATAATAATAATAATAATAATAATAATACAAGACAAGCAAAATCTCAATCTCATTCTTCTTGTTCTTCTTCGGCAGCACACATAGCAAGCATTTGCGAATCCCTCTGTCTTCAACCAGCAATGCCTGCCCAGAAGCGCTCCCTACCCGACTCCCTCGACGAAGGGGACACTTCGCACCACAACCTCTTCCATTCTCGACATGCGAAGCAACAACTGCAACAACATCAGGACCAGTCGCACGAGCACGACGCGGATCACCACCATGAAGAAGAGGAACAAGAGGAAGAAGAAGAAGGGGACGGAGAAGGAGAAGAAGATGATGACGAGGAAGAAGAAGAAGACGAAGAAGTAGAAGAAGCGGCGCATGATAACGACGGCAAGGAAACGCCACAGGGTTACGTGTCGTTCTCGTCCTTTTTCTTTTCGCTCCGTTTCTTCGTGTCTTCGTACTATTTTTGGTTCCTCAATTGGCTTTTCTCAACTGGGTTGCGCTTTGTTTCGCCTCTGCAGTTCTTCACGTTCTCAAGTTTTTTTCTTTTCTCTTTCGCAGATTCCGACGAAACCCCATCTTCTGGCTCTGAAGAAAAACCTGAGTACTCATTCGTTCTCTCTCATACGACCTCTCTCACGTGCATTGCTTTGAGGCTTCTGTTATGTGTTTCGTTGCCTATTTTTTTTAGATTCACGTTTTTATTCCATGCTTCTGTTTCCGGATCGTGGCAGCATGTCAATTTTGCCTTTTCTATGTTTCTTCCTTTGAATTTGAACTTTTGTGTTATGGGATGTTATGGGTTTGCTTTGACGGTGTAAAGGGGTGATACTTGTTCCTGTTGTTTGAGTTGGGGTGTCTGAAATTTTCTGAACTCTCCCATTTGATTTTTTGTTGTTCGTTTGCATGTTTGGATTTTTGTTTTGTTTACGTTTGAAACTTGCTCGCTGCTTGCCTGCTCAAATGATGTAATTGTTTTAGCGTAGTTTTTTGTTATTGGATATATGATTCCTTGGTGTCATTTTTCATAGCGTCGGGTTAAACATCAATCAGCACCTACAATTATTTGTCATTATTGCTACAGTTGCTGCTTTGGAACTTTATTGTTTTTTTCCCAGAAGCATAGAGTACTGTTTAAGTCATGCCCATCAGAATGTTCTAAGTAGCCATATATAAACTACTATTGCGTTGATTTGTCCGTCAAGAGTTCAAAGTCAAAACTGTTTGAGGCATTGTCATGGTACCAGTGGTCAACTTTTGAATATCATAGGTCAGGTTTTATTCGTGGTTGTAGTTCCATTGTGATCCTTGACATTATTGGAAATTGCATACGAATTGAATCATGGAGGGTCCAAAAACCAAGATGTTTTCATCATAGACTATCTCTTACAATCTTGATAAAGACCTGCGTTTGGTTAGTAATTGTTGCTTCCCAGTAGCTGTATTTCATAGTTAGTCGTGTTGCTTAAAGTGATTGACTTGTCCTCTGCATCTCTTCAATGTTTATCCAAGTTGCCAAAGGTTAAAGGCACCACACAACGGGGCCTTGAGGCAAGATTGGCTAAAGTTACTATGTTTCACCAAAGATAGGCACCAATATCTAGCATTATTTTTTCATTTAAATTAACACCAACCTGTTTGTTGCTCATGACTAATAGCCCGAGATTCTTACAAGTGACAGACAACTGGTTATATTTTAACGTTCTGGCAATGGTACCCCACTCCTTAAGCATAACATTTTGGAAGATAGATTGTTGGTATACTCTGATTTTTCTCCCTTGTTAGTTATTAATAAAGTGCTAAAGGTGTGTTGGTATGAAAAGGTGTGTCCAAAGCGTGACACAAACAAAAAAAGGCCGACTCCTCTGTATCTTGATTTAGTTCCTTATATAGAACACATCTTTGCCATGTGCCTTTTGTAGCAGGATTACATTGTTTTTCTTCCAGAAAACTATTGGAATTCTTATTAGTTTGATCCTTTATCATATGGTTGACTGATGGCATATTCTTGATTTTGTGGAGCATTTTAGGATGACTTCTTTGTTTGGATTAAATTGTTCTCAGCATTGTCAATAATATGTTTTTTTTTTCAGTTTTCATGAAGTTTTTGTATGGATGACTTGAGTACACCAGATAAAAAGAAAGATTTGGTTATTTTATATAGGGATTGATTTAATACTTGTTCTATTGCAGTTAATCATCTCTAAAGTATCTGTGCATAAAGTAAGTCTCTATATGTTAAGTGAATTTACTTGGAAACACACTAATTTTGTCAAAAAAAAAATTACATTTTGATCATATCTTAATTTCCATATAATTGGAAATAACTGTTTTGTTATAATTGCTTTTACATCCAAAGTGATTTTTAATTGACTAAGTATAAAAGTGTTTCAATTACGCAAGTGTTATTTAAATAGCCACTATAGTGCTATCGCATGGTTGAATATTTGAATCTGCAATTGCAACTCTGGCTACTATTGCTGCTGTAATTGTTGTGGTTGTGACATATGTCCTGCATCCTCTTGTCATCTTTGATAAGTCTTCAACTAATTAAACTTTTGAGTCAATATAATGCCAATTTTTATGTATTTTTGTTTTTCCTTGTATACTTAATATTAGTGCATATATATTTGATATATATACCATACATATAAACTGTTATGTGACTTCTGCCATATGCCTGCAATGTTATCTGCTGTATGATATATTGGATTATCAGCTTTCTGTCATTTCTCGCAGTCTGCAATTGATGACATTGGTTTACACTAACAGTGTAACCAATTAAACTCTATATTAAATTCTTAGTTGCAATGGCATTAGTGTTGCTCTTCCAATTCAAGTGTGTGGAAAATACAATGGTACTGTGTTTTTTTTCCTTGAAGAATCATTTCATTTATAAGTTCATTGGAATATAAAAGTTACTTTGAGTTAGGTCTAAATCCAATTTCTAAGATGGTACCATCATGTCCTAGCAAGTTTTGTTAGGTTTATCATGTTACCCACTATTGAGTTGCTATTGGACTACTCACAAATATCTAGTATCATGCTTGGGATGTCCAATCATTGGCCTGAGAGTGTGTGTTGGAGATCTTACATCAATAAGAGATATGGTCAAATTATAGTATATGTATGAGTGTAAATCTCACTTTACAAGTTGATTTTCAGATGTTAAATTAAGCTTAAATCCACTTTCTAAGGATTTTCTGGGTCACTAGGGATTTGAGATTTTTTTAACTACCCTACTTTTAGGTGTATGTTACGTTAAATTGTTCTTTCTATCATGTTTATGTTAATATATGCTTATTTTCTTGTACTCTTCTTTTGTTTGCAGATTTGTGTATGTAGAACTTTTGGAAATACGTAAAGATGTCCAATGTCCAATTTGCCTTGGTATGCTTTTTGTTTTCCCTTTCAAGATGACATAATTAGGCTATTAATTAGTTGTGATTTTGCATTTGCTTAGAGATATTTGGTAGGATATACTTACCATTATCAGTTTTTTGCAGTAATGATACATTGTGAGTTGGAAGTAGTTAATGTTTATTAAAAGATCCTAATGTGTGGTGGAGAGTCTTTTATACTAATGCTACTTATATGTTTTGTTAGGAGGAGAGAGTTGGGGTAAGAGTATTACATAGGTTATTTTTCATACAAGACACTTGGAGATTTCTCATTGTTCTTAATGGATTATTGGGTGATTTTGAAACTACTATTGGTCCTTAATAGTTTGGTATTGTTAAAATCTTGTATATATGTTAACATCCTATAGATATAGTAACTGTAAATAAATATCAGGATCAATTAGACTAATTATATATTTATGTTTTTAACCCAAAATAGGGTGAAATGAATATCCTCTAATTATGTTTTCTCCCCTATAAATTGAATAGTTCCATTATGGTCTAAACATACGAAATTCATCATATGCCTTGCCTTCTCAGTTTCTCTCTTCTCATTATGATCCATTGCTTACAAGAGTAATTTTTTTAGTAACTATGTATGCTTGGATCGTGTTGTCAAGAGCCACTAACTGTTTGTATTTGACCATCATCCAAAATAGGCAAATGAGAATGAATCAGCGCATCATAAATAAATTGAAGGGCACTCATCTTGGTCTAAAAGAGCATTGAGGCCAAAGCATTCTATGTTTCATCAATTGAAACTGAATCGTCAACAATTCCCTTTTTAAATTAAGATCTGCACCTATAACCTGGTTGACCAGTCTTGCTATTTCAAAATTCATAGGCATTTCAAATTCTATTGTTCCTAATCGGGTCTATATAGTTAATTCATGAATCCTTTTGGACATAAGAACATTGTAACTATTAACATCAATATTCTTAAACAAAAATGGAAATCATGTACCAACTGTTACCAGCATCTTTGGGCATTTCTGCTCCTCCAAACTACGAGTCTCATCTCTGTAGTATAAGATTTGCAGCATTAATCCTAATAATGTATGTAGTGGCACCATTTGCTGATGAAATTTGGATAATGTAAATGCCTTGTAGATAAGGGAAAATCATTGGGATGTGGTTGATAACAATTGCAATCTATCATGTTGGTTGTGGTCATGTACCTAGAGGATACATTCATAGACACATGATCATTGTATTCTGCATTGAAGTTTATAGCGAGTGATTGTCCCCTGGATAATTTGTTTAGTTGGTCCGAGCTTTTCGTGAAATTGTTGCTCTTAATGTGGCTGATCAAATTGCAATGGTTGTGTTTGACCATCATTCAAAATAGATGAGTGAGGATGATTGGTGTTCCATAAACCAAAAGGCACTCATCTTGGTTCAGGAGAGTATTAAGACCAAATAACCATATACAACTTCCTTTCGGTCTCTCTGTTTTGTCAATTAAAGCATAACAACCAACAATTCCCTCTTCAAATCACGATCTACACCTATAACTTGATTCGTCATTCTTGTTGTCTCCATAATCTTAGGCATTTTAGGTTCCAATACCCTCCACCACACCACCAGTGCCATGGAAAATCCCTAGAATGACAGTTCTGATAAACCATTACAATTTAATCAACCGGTTTTAGAGTGATAGGTTTGCAAAAGGCTTGGACCAACTGAACAAGTGCTCAACAAATAATACTTGTTATAAACTTCATAATAGAATACAACGACCATGTGCACATGGGCGTATCCTCCAGGTACATTGCCATGACATGATAGATTGCTATGTCTATCTACCATATCCCAATAATATTGTCTCAGCTAAGAGGGCATTGTCTCAGCTAAGAGGGCATTCACATTATTCCAATTTTATATGGCAAACAACATCACCAAGGAGATTATAGGGACGGTTGTTGTGAATCTTGTTTGTGTAATTTTTCCAAATATGGTGAAGATAGTTACTAGTTATTGAACAATTATCACAATCATTTGGTTGATATCGCTCAAAAGAACATAATACAAAGATGAGATTCTTCAATTGGTGGCACAGAGACGACCATAGAGCTTGATAACACTTGGTTGTCTGATTATCATTGTTTAAAAATATTGACACTAACAATTACAGTGCTTCTGTGTCCTATAGGATTTGGGTGTTAACTGTGAAAGCTGGCTTTGAATCATTGAAACATGAAATGTATGTGAATTTTGAAATAGCAAGACTAATCAATCAAGATGTGGGTGCAAATATTGATTTGAAGAGGTAACTGTTGATAATTCTGCTTCAATTGATGAAATAGAGAGACCGAATGGAAGTTGTATGTGGATTTATGGTCTCAATACTCTCCTAGACAGAGACGAGTGCCTTTCAGTTTATTTATGATTCACTAGTTAATCCTCACTCACTTGTTTTGGATGATGGTAGTTAGTGGCTCTTAACTACCTTTTCCAAGCCATAATTAGTTGCACACACCTATAATTTTTTTTAGGTTCTTTTATATGGTTCCACTAGAACGTTTAAGGTTCCCCATCCCACTTGTAGTCACTTAGAAGATCAAGAGAGCTGGGAATCAATCAACCAATCTCAAATCTACCGCCACCTCATGGGACAACCTAATTGTACAAAGGCTCATAGATCTCCATAGAGAGGCAACAAACAACAATGATTTACACCTTCTGTTAGGTCCTGGGTTTGAAACCTAACAAGAACACAAACAGTAGGTAGAAAATGTAATGGAAGAATGGGTTCTATTATCGACAGCGATAGAAATCTCTGTACAAAGAAGGGTTGGGAGCATAACGTCCCTGGATTGGGAGCATAACCTCCCTCTTCTGGTAAAAGTCCAGACTTTACAAAAGAATACTCAATGATCCCATACAGAGTTTGCAGGAGTCTATTTATAGCTCTAACCGCTTTGACCCACTCCCCCTTACAACAGAAACCCTTCCCAAACCGAAACCAAACAATTCCCCTGTTAAACCCGTTTGGTATGCCCCTGTTACCGTTCGGCTCCCAACCTAAACTCCTTGTTAAACACGTTCGGCATCCTAAACCCCCTTCTATCCTATCATCCTATGTCCTAACACCTTCTTAGTGCACTCTCAACAGCTAGGTTGAGGGATATTTGGAGACCTCATATTTGCTTAACATACCATAACAAGCGTCAAGTAGGGAGATAGTTGTAGTGATGGTTGTGTCATTTTTTCTCTTGTTGAATGTACTAAAGACGTAACTTTTTGCATAGTAATTAGTAGGATTGGTAGATTTTTGCAACTGAAATGCTGAGATTGCAGGAGGATTTGTTACTGACAAATCCAGTTTTGTAACAAATATGCTTTTAACCTAATTGGTTACCATGGAAAAATAATTGTTGGAGATCTCATATTGACTTGAGATCTGACCAAATTATATCATATAATTGGGGCACAAGCAAAGACAATGAACAATGCACACTACCACCTCCTCTCGATCTCCTTCACATTTTGGTACCATGATAAATACAACCTCCTCTTACTATTGGTAGTAAAAGATTTTTGCATTAAATATGTTTTTGGTCCCTTAACTTTCAGTGAAAATTGGAATTAGTCTATCTTTGGAATTTTGACCCAATTTAGTTCCTTAACTTTAGAAATGTGTGGATTTAGTCTTTTTAACCAAATTTTGTTAAGTTTATTTCACGTTTCAAATGCATTTGAGTTGTTTACACTGTTTGACATTTTTTATTCAATGTTAGTTGAGAAACGCTTTTAAAACCTTAAATAAACTTAACAAAATCTGGTTAAAAGGACTAAATTCACACAGTTCTAAAGCTGAGGAACTAAATTAGTCCAAAGTTTCAAAGAGAGACTAATTTCAATTTTCATTGAAAGTTAAGGGACCAAAATCATATTTAACCCAAGTTTTTTTAGTTCAAGTTCTTTGTGTTCAACAATTTTCTCAAAGTTAGGCACACATAGGGGTTATTATTGGCTATCATCCTAGAGTGTAGCAAATACATGTGACACAAAGATAGATTTATATTTGACTTTGATACTATCTTAAAAACATGTTTTATGTCCTACATCTATCTCACACAATCAACATGTTTTATGACCTACCCAAGGTTTATAATCTTTATGTAAGTCATATATCTGATCAACGTGAGATTAAACCACCACCTTTGAGGTTACAATTAAGATAACTCCTAAAGAGGCTGCGATTAAGGCAAGTCAAGGGTGTCCATAATTAAGGTAGCTTTTCAACAAGTTGGTTACTTATATTTGTTGTGAGGTCACACAAAATATCTATTAATTTGTTTTTCAACTTTAATTGCCAAATTAAATGCATTGGTCATGATCCATATTCCTTTAAGTTTCAACAAATCTTTAATGACCATCCTAGAACCTCTAATTATTTGGTTTTGTCTTGTATAAATTAACCTGGGCATTGAACAAAAGTATTCCATGTACTCTCACTCATTGTGTTCTTTGCTCTCCTGTTGACAATCCCAATATTTTGGTACAATGTTTTGTCNGGCTGATCAAATTGCAATGGTTGTGTTTGACCATCATTCAAAATAGATGAGTGAGGATGATTGGTGTTCCATAAACCAAAAGGCACTCATCTTGGTTCAGGAGAGTATTAAGACCAAATAACCATATACAACTTCCTTTCGGTCTCTCTGTTTTGTCAATTAAAGCATAACAACCAACAATTCCCTCTTCAAATCACGATCTACACCTATAACTTGATTCGTCATTCTTGTTGTCTCCATAATCTTAGGCATTTTAGGTTCCAATACCCTCCACCACACCACCAGTGCCATGGAAAATCCCTAGAATGACAGTTCTGATAAACCATTACAATTTAATCAACCGGTTTTAGAGTGATAGGTTTGCAAAAGGCTTGGACCAACTGAACAAGTGCTCAACAAATAATACTTGTTATAAACTTCATAATAGAATACAACGACCATGTGCACATGGGCGTATCCTCCAGGTACA